CTCTCTCTCTTCTCTCTCTCTCTCCTCTCTCTCTCTCTCTCTCTCCTCTCTCTCTCTCTCTCTCTCTCTCTCTCTCTCTCTCTCTCTCTCTCTCTCTCTCTCTCTCTCTCTCTCTCCTCTCTCTCTCTCTCTCTCTCTCTCTCTCTCTCTCTCTCTCTCTCTCTCTCCTCTCTCTCTCTCTCTCTCTCTCTCCTCTCTCTCTCTCTCTCTCTCCTCTCTCTCTCTCTCTCTCCTCTCTCTCTCTCTCTCTCTCTCTCTCTCTCTCTCTCTCTCTCTCTCTCTCTCTCTCTCTCTCTCTCTCTCTCTCTCTCTCTCTCTCTCTCTTCTCTCTCTCTCTCTCTCTCTCTCTCTCTCTCTCTCTCTCCTCTCTCTCTCTCTCTCTCTCTCTCTCTCTCTCTCTCTCTCTCTCTCTCTCTCTCTCTCTCTCTCTCTCTCTCTCTCTCTCTCTCTCTCTCCTCTCTCTCTCTCTCTCTCTCTCTCTCTCTCTCTCTCTCTCTCTCTCTCTCTCTCTCTCTCTCTCTCTCTCTCTCTCTCTCTCTCTCTCTCTCTCTCTCTCTCTCTCTCTCTCTCTCTCTCTCTCTCTCTCTCTCTCTCTCTCTCTCTCTCTCTCTCTCTCTCTCTCTCTCTCTCTCTCTCTCTCTCTCTCTCTCTCTCTCTCTCTCTCTCTCTCTCTCTCTCTCTCTCTCTCTCTCCTCTCTCTCTCTCTCTCTCTCTCTCTCTCTCTCTCTCTCTCTCTCTCTCTCTCTCTCTCTCTCTCTCTCTCTCTCTCTCTCTCTCTCTCTCTCTCTCTCTCTCTCTCTCTCTCTCTCTCTCTCTCTCTCTCTCTCTCTCTCTCTCTCTCTCTCTCTCTCTCTCTCTCTCTCTCTCTCTCTCTCTCTCTCTCTCTCTCTCTCTCTCTCTCTCTCTCTCTCTCTCTCTCTCTCTCTCTCTCTCTCTCGACAGACAGCTCATATATGAACCTTTCCGTAAAGATCACTGTACAAATTTCGCATTTAGGCGACACTCCGACAAACCTGCAGGCTCATTTCCTTCAAAAAAGCAAAATTCTGCGTGACCCCACGCCCTACTGGCGTTCTATTCACCTTCACATTAGGAGAGGGCCTTAGAGCAGCGCCTTTGCCAGCACCTCGAAAAGCAAGCCGGAGCCATGAAAAAAACGAGACTGGAAAGTTCGTGAAAGTAGCACTTTATGGGCACCTTCCTTCGTCCCGAGAACTAAAAATAAAACGGCTATTCAAAAAACAGTGTTGTAAAGCTTTTACATTAACCTTTCAGGCTGGCACCACATGGTGCTGACTGGTGTGACCTGTGATATGTAATGCTAGGTAAAAAGTGGAAAGTTATTAATGCATTGACCCACCCGCTTATGTCAAAAACCGAACAAGTCAGAGAAGTGGGGAAAATGGCACTAAAATGTCTTCCAAAGTCATAAGACGCATCCTATCATGAGTTCAGAATTCTTATGTGGACATTTATCAACCTTCAGTATCCCAGGAAGTACTGGTTCAACGATGTTATCAAGCAAACACTGGCTTATGGCCACCTTAGTCAGCACTCGGCGTTTCAAGCTGTACTTATGATTACGAGGCATCACAAGCGCAATTATCCCGCAAAGGCGTTACACAAGCTCATATCATAAGGCAAGCTGGATAACATCTTTGCAAGTAATCCGACTGGCATCTAATTGTTATCTGACTTGCGTTAACTTAGGCATTCGCAAGCTACCTAAGTGAAGTGAGATAGCTGCTACACAATTTAGATAACAAAATTAGTTACGCGTGTTAAACCACAAGCAAACCTCGAATATTGGCAATATAACCAATGGTTGCTTGATGACATCGTTCTGCTACAGAATGTTTTAATTGAGAATTTCAAAAATGTTGTGACGTGTATACAAATTTGTATAAGGATATTTATTTACATCACGGGTATTTGAACATGCAACGTTTTTGCCTTAATAATCAGTGTTCATCAGACAAGCAAATGTCTCCAAGTGTGCAAGTACCTACAAGTGTGCAAGTACCCCCCCCCCCGAACACCACCACGCTGCACCGAATTTGAGAATGGTCCACATCCGCCAATGTCTTGACGTGTTCAGCCGCTCGGCGCTTGGTCGGAGGCCAGAATCTGTGACCACAATTTGCCAGACCACAATGGTTGTGTGAAAGACTCCAATCCACGTGTCATTCTTTTTGAACTTTACTTGCCAGGTAGCGCGTGCTTGGCTTTCCTTGGTATCCTTACCTATCCGATTAAAATTACATTTCAAGTGAAAGACCCTGTAGTACCTCCTGGAATATATATATATATATATATATATATATATATATATATATATATATATGTATATATATATATGTATATATATATATATGTATATATATGCATATGTGTGTGTGTGTATGTGCGTGTATGTGTGTTTATATATATATATACATTGCCTGGACTAACTCATTATATTATGGGCATAAGGTATTCTTAATCTCCTCTACACACCTCTACGTATAGTGAAGGATTAAAACTGCCGGCACAAGAACTCTCACCTCATGATGCTAAAAGGCTAGGAAATCGAGAAGCATTTTAGACAAGACAGGCGTCATTAAGATATGAATTATATGAGCTTCAAAAGGTCAGAATCTTTTAATGAATGTTCAGGCTATCAGCAACAAAAAACCGTCGAAAGCTCGATACAGCTTAATCTCGGATAGTCTGACCTTAATAAACCAGCTGTAGCGATGATAAGCCTCTTCAGATTGATTAAGTTAGGAAAAACAATTTGGAAAAGCTATTGGGAAGGTACTTTGACTAAGAAAGAAGCAGTATGTCACCCATTAAGAAAATTTTGCTGAGATGACCACGAACCAACAAGATCAAAAACTTACAGTTTCCACATGTATCAAAACAACTAAGCAAAGTTTTAGCACCGTGCTCAGGACCGGTCAGAAGGTGTTTCAGAAAAACTAGAGTGTTCTGAGGGCATCCGCGTAGTGCAAGGGCCAAACATCCGTGTCCCGACTTATCATTTTTGGCTGATGGCCTTCCTCTTTCATTTTGCAGTTTAAATATGTTCAAGCACAGCAGCAGACACAGATAGCCACTGCCGATTTGAGCCTGCTGAGCCCGATCCCTCACGTCCGACAACGCCGCCTGCCTTGTTAGCGGCGCATTTGCCGGTTCCTGCAGCTGTCACTGGGGCGCGGCGAGGCGACACCCGTCCTGACGGCGGAGGGCTGCTGGCGGCCAGCGTGTTGTCGCTGGCTGGCGCCGGTCACCACCCTGTGGTCGCCGGCGTGTTGTCGCTGGCTGGCGCCGGTCACCACCCTGTGGTCGCCGGCGTGTTGTCGCTGGCTAGCGCCGGTCACCACCCTGTGGTCGCCGGTGTGTCGTCGCTGGCTGGCGCCGGTCACCACCCTGTGGTCGCCGGCGCGTTGTCGCTGGCTGGCGCCGGTCACCACCCTGTGGTCACCGGCGTGTTGTCGCTGGCTGGCGCCGGTCACCACCCTGTGGTCGCCGGCGTGTTGTCGCTGGCTGGCGCCGGTCACCACCCTGTGGTCACCGGCGTGTTGTCGCTGGCTGGCGCCGGTCACCACCCTGTGGTCGCCGGCGTGTTGTCGCTGGCTGGCGCCGGTCACCACCCTGTGGTCGCCGGCGTGTTGTCGCTGGTTGGTGCCGGTCACCACCCTGTGGTCGCCGGCGTGCGACCTCTGAGTCAGCGGTGCCGCCGCCGCACGTGCTGAGCTGTCCTGCAGCAGCTAGCTGGCAGCCGCCGCCCGCCGCCGGCGCTCCGCGAGGTGCGTGAGCCATGACGCGGCTGGAGGCAGGTGTCAGAGGTTGCCCTGACGGTCACTGGGTCTTTGATGAGTGGGACATTTTCGATCAGGTCGATGACCGGGCTGGCCATTATTACACAGTGTTCGTTTCCTTCTTCGCCTTTAGCGTCAGCCATATCGTCATCGATGCCTTTGATTAAATACCTCTTTCCTGGTAACAAATTTGCAAGCGAACGTAACGTTGTGGGGTAAATGACGCAGCGCCCGGTAATGCTAGCACACGTAAGCGCAAGTTTATGCAAATAAACACGCTCTGAGCTTGGTCATTCAGATACGTGTCATGTCGGCGCCCACAAATCGCGGTTAACGGCTGATGCAGCTTTTAGTGCGGTGTTATGCTAAAAAAGGCGAAGCATGTGGTCCCCCAGCCTATTCCACGGTTAGGTTTTCAACTCAATGACAACAAATGTCTGTATTCAAGATTGGAAGCCACCTTGCGCAAATTGGAAGCTGCGCGCTCCTTAGGTGATAACGGCATGCACAAGTTGTCTAAACTGGTCACGCGGTTCTGTGGTGCAGCAATGCAGCAGTCTTCTTCAGAAAGATTCACGAAATGCATGTAACGCATTAAGTAGAAGCTAAATGCATCGTGTCTAAATGCCCTTTCTTGTCCGGAACACCAACTCTAATCAAACAGACAAGCGTGGTAACTCCGGTGATAGCTGACGTTTTCGGCGCGCTGATATCAGGCGCGGAGAACATTACGGCGGTCTGGAACCGCCAGACACTAACTCTCCTGAGCACCTCTCTCTCAGGTCGGACCCCCATTTCGTCCCGATCGTATAGCGACACCTGCGGACCGTTGCGGCTTCACGAGGCATCTGCAGTTTGGACGGCGGCACCTTTAGCCCGGCGCTCACACGCGGACCACTAACAAACGGCCGCGCGTGCTGCCAAAACAGCCGGGGGCGACGTCGCCGTGGCAGCGGCGGCGACAGACGCTGGCGGCAATGTCGCGCGGCACCCGGCGGCGACCCCTGGCCCCGGCTGACCTGACCTGACCCGCGGCCGCCGCCGGGCGCCTGGAGGTCATGAGTCAGCCGCGCTGGTGGCGGAACCGCGGCAGCCAGCGGGTCCAGGTTGTCTAAAAAAGGCCGCCGTCTTCGGCCGAGTAACCTGAGCGTTCCCCGCGCATGCGCGCTGGACGCGACGGCTGCAAGGTGGCGGCATCGGCCTAGTCGGAGCTGGGAGACGCGCTCGTGTCGTGCAGCGAACGGTGCCCTCGAGGTGCGACTCCACCGGCCGGCCAGCAGCACTCCTTCCGATCCGCCAACGACCTACCATGTCCTCCTCGAAGACGACACGCAAGTACACCTACACCTCCTCCGGTGGAGGAGGAGCAGGTGGCGGGAGCTCTGACATCCAAGTGGAGTTCCACACGGACCAGATCGCCCTCGCCAGGATGGAGGTGAGCGCTTTGTCGGGCTGTCAGTGTCGGTGGGTGCGCCGACAGGCCGAGGAAAGACACCAGTAGTCGGAGGGCTGATATTTTCCACCGCCCTTTTTTTACTTTTGTTAAGCTGGCCGACGGTAATTTTGATGCTGCTGCATATTTTTAGCACATGTGCGATGTGTGTATAATGCTTCCGTTGGGCATTACTACCGACCTGCTTGGTTTATCCAATGGCACTTCTACACTAGAAATGTCTGTCTTTTTAGAAAGTGTGCGTCCTCAAGAGAGGCGCAGGCATACGCCGGCCAAGCTATTATACAAGCTAAGACAGTTCAGGTAGCAGAAAAAACTCGCACCTACCAAGACAACTTTGGTGTCCCTATGATTGCTGGGACGTCATATGGCGGCATCGCCTCAGATGGTGCAATCATGTAAGCGGTCAATATTGAACTACGCTTCAGTCACGGCTGATGAAATTGCCGGAAAGCTTTTTGCACCTAGGGCGTTACCACCAGGAGACAAGGGAAGAGGGGCGGGGCAGCCGCCTACTTGACACTCGCCAAGGTGGCAAATACATGGTGCTGCCCGCCCTGAATTTTCAGGAGGCTCTGTCATGCTGACACGATGCCCTACGAATGACCAGAGACAGAGCATTGCATCACATGACAAGGAGAGCCCTTAAGACACGCAGAAAACAATATCTGCCCCGTAAGGAGGCCATAGATGGCCATCATCAGGCCCTGATGGTCGGCAGGTAGCCCTAGATGATCCAAAGGGAGTCAATTGCACGCATAGGAGGTCCGTGTAAAATACAGGAAGGCCCTTAAGTTCAAGGGGATGCTCCAATTACCAGCACTGTAGACCCAATAGGACAATGGAAGGCTTTGTTCAATTATGCATAGCAACTCGGAGGATCCTTTGAAAAAGTGGGCAAAATCAGATGGATTTGTTTTTAGAAAGGAGTCGGGCCTAAAGACCCCCAAATCGGCGGAGGCACTTAGATCTGCTTGCTCGCTTGGGAAAAGGTCGGTGGAGTCACCACTATATCCTGGGATATAAACTTCTTACTGAGCAGTTCCCAAACCAGGAATGTCAGTGGAGACAACTTTCCAAACATTAATGCTACACTGTTGGCCACACTACAGACCTTTATCATAATAAGTATCCGCTGATGACGCAAACATCAATCTGGGTTTGCCGGCGTAACTGCTTTCGATTATTACTTTGTTCTTTCTCCTTGCATATCTCTGAACTATAGCGATGCGCTTTCTCCACATTCATTTGTGCAGAATAACAACGCGGGACGCCTATGAGCTAAATCTGATAGCCACGTGGCATCGCTGCGGGTATTCCCCACTCATCCTCGCATTGCCAAGCCTCGGCTCAGTGACAGGCTCTCAGATAGCTCTGGGCACACCGTCGGGCGCCAAGCTGCCGGCTCTGAGGACTGCACGCAAAGGCTCATCAGGCGCCTCTGGTGCCCTCAATGTGCTGGTTTTCGCGCGTACCTTCTTGTTCGGGAGGGCATGCTTCAAGCCGCATTTATTACAGAAAAAGGCATGATGCCCCTTTACACAATCGAGCGCAACGACCAAAAAGTCGACTGTGAGCTTTGCAATCAGTGATTGTTTTGTATTTATGCGCAATTGACTCAGTATCTATGAGTAATTAACTAAATCGAGCAGTTTATTCTAAATGCAGAGCCTAGCAAACTCCTGTTTTCCACAACGCTCTTCAGCACCTGCGCACACTGAGTAAACATTTCTTGACGCTGCGTGATTCTGGGATCTTTCCTGAAATCCTCAATGGCCCTCTGAGATTGCCTCTACCCATCTTTCGCATCACGTCTCTTTGCCCTGACTCCTGATTATACCTGACTGAGCAGCCCTCAAAGTTTCTCGAGCTTTGATGTTATCGTTTGAAGACCTCTTCCCTCCCAAGGTGGCTGCTTGCCCTGGCTGCACACGTCCCAAATCACCCGGAGCGCCGTGTCCCCTGCTTGCGTCAGTCTCTCTTGCCACGTCCATGTAGCACGGCTGCCTCTCGCTTAGTTCGTCCTGCACGACCGGCCGTTCCCTGGTGTCCTGGTACCCTGATGTTTTGGTGTCCAGGTGCCATGGTGTTCTGGTGTTCTGGTGCCCTGGTGCCCTGGTGTCCTTGTGTTCTGATGCCCTGGTTCCCCGGTGCCCTGGTATTCTGGTGTCCCGGTGTCCTGACCCTGCAGACCTCGACTTCCCTTCCCGCTCCCCGTCCTGCTCCGCTGTCATTGGCAGCGTCCTTCGCCATGCACATGCGTCTGGGCTGGCTATAACCCGGTTCCATGAAGAGCGGCATTATGTACCTGTGGGCGCACACCTGCCCCTGAGCCCACCCGTGCCTCGGCCACTCTCCCTCTCGACGGGCCGCGCCGCCGGCGTCCCGGGCGGGCCCCGTCGGCGGCGGCGGTGAGTCAGGGGGCGCTGTTGGCAGCCGTCGCCGCCTGGAACCACCGGCGGCGGCCTCGCGCTGACTCACTGCTGATCGGCCCAAAGTTAGCCGCGCGCCGCCACCGCTGACGCCAGCCGGGCTCCTCGGCGCCCACCGGGCGCGGGCCGGCCTGGAGGAGCCGGCGCCGCTGCCAGATCAGGACTCGGCCCGGTGGAGCGCGGGCGCGCTGCATCACGCGCGATGACACGTGGGGTTGTGGCAGGAGGGAGAGGCGCTCGAGTGGTCATCGTCGTCAGCACTCAATCAAGTTGTTCGTTGCTGGCCCGGGCAGCTTTTTCATTCTGCCACTCGGAGGGGCGTGTCTGAATCGCGCTCTTCAACTGAAGACGTAGAGTCCAATATTGAAACACGCTACCCCCCCCCCCCCCCTTGCAGCGCTCAATGACACTTTCCTGAAGCATGTGCGTTCGGTGCTCAGCAGCTGCACAGCATAAGTACTTGACACTTTTTAAAAGACCTTGCTGCACCAAAGATATTCTCACGGATTGCATTCCCCTCGGTCCGTCGATCACGGACATTCCAGATGAAGAGTTAATCGACCATTATTAGAAACACTGAAGTTCAAGTTAAAGATGAGCTAGTTCTGTATTCAAGATGTTCGCTGTTGGACAGAGCTGGACGAGAGCGGTGTCCTTAAACCTTGGCACGCCGAAAGTCACAGGGATAAAGAAGCGGACGTCTCACACGAGTGCGTCATACGTAGGCACCTTGATGGCGAATACTTTGGCTGTTGAGGGATGACATCTCTAGATACCCAATCGCTGACCGGAAAATTACTGCTGGAAGGATCTCAATCATGGAAGGGTACGAAAAAGGAGAATGTCTCTATCCTGTTTTAACGCTGACGCGATATTGTTCTGCTTTAGAACCTACGATTTACGGATTACTGTTCCACTAAACGGGGCGAAATATGTATCAACCCACATTCTGCATACGACAGGACACCTGCGTTGGTTTTGTTCGCATGGATCGCTAACTGAGTGGCAAATGGTGGTGAGTGGGCATTATGGACTTCGTCGCATGACATCCATTGAAAACCGAACTGAAGCATTTGCCTTTTTGCAATGCGTATTGTACGATTTGTGATCTTGCCCGGTTCTGACACTGTCGAGCTAATATCACGTTTTGAAGCGATACATTATTTTTGCTCTGCGTAATATTCACTAACTATATGCTGTTTAGTGCTTGCAACCCTGTTACCAATCAGTATCGCTTCACAAGCAAGGCAGGAATGCGATAAAATTCACCCGATTGTTGTTGTGTACCAATCACACAATCGAATCTTGTCTTCCAGATTGCTTAAGGAGAGACGAGTCACGCAAAGGTACACCGTTAGATCTGGCCTCTTAGCTCGGTGTTTGCCCAAATGTCCCAAGTGCTTCCATGTGAACCAATACACCTGAACCTTAGTATGGCTGTTCCCCGTAGGCGGTTTGTACAGAGCGTGTTCCGCACTGACTGCAGTGACCCTATTGCTAGTTATGTATTTGTATGTCCCCTTTCCAGTCCCGTTTGCCACCGCGTATGAATACTGTACATAATGACTTGTTTTTATGTGCGTGCGTACCTGTGTGTGCCGTTACCGGGCCGCCTCTGGACACACGGGTGCACACTTTACGCCATACCCTGTCCGTGCGGCATGATGATACACTTAGCCTACGACCATGTTCCCACCCTAAGCACCGGTGTTTACTGATTCACACAGCCAATCGATTTCGCGTGCTTGACCACGGAGAGTAATGTCAAATGCATTTCATTTCGTGTCCGTCCTGTCATTTCATTTGCTTTGCACATAGTTTTGAAATCAACCGCCCCAGGGTCCGGGTCCTCTTGCACCCAAACCCGTTGCGCTTTGTTTGCCTGTGCCGTCCACTTCCCGTCTCGGGTTCCGTGTGTGGTGTGGGGTCGACTGCAGAGCTGATTACCCGTTGGACGTGTTCGGTCGGTGAACAATCAACTGTTGCCAATGGAGGTGTGTAGTACGAAGTGTAATAATGGATAAATAACGAGGTGCAAGTTTACGGCTGCGGGAGCACTTTTAATTGCACCATGCGGCACCAACTGCAGTCACTCTACGTTTGCAGTCATTTCTTGCATCACATACAAATGGGCGTTCCGAATGCCTGTCACTGAAGAAGTCGTTCAGATCGTGGTCTGCTGCAAATGTAGTGACGTAGGTCACTCCAGATAGCTTTGCATATTGCATGGACCTGTGATTACGCCGAACGTTGTCGCAATAATCGGGCGGGGTTGGGCGGAACGATTTCAGTGGTTGATTGGGACAGTTTTCTTGAGACGCTCTGAGCGAGTCTCACTCAAACGGAACGACTGTCGCCCCACACACAGTCTCGATCGGAACTCACAACACCAGTCACATGCTGTAGCGTATGGGTGGCCAGGTCCCGTGGTGAGAGTGCAGAATGTAAAATGACCTCTTTGTATAGTACTGTCTGCGTTGCAGCGTGTTTAAATCACTTCGTGGAAACCCCGGTCCTCCACAAAAACAACACCTTACTGCTTGCCACTGCACTGGCCGTGGAAGGACCTGGCCTGGGATCAAATAACCCCTTTATTGGAGTCAAACCCGACCACGAGCCGGCGCCCGGCCGTCTCGCCAGTGCCGCCTGCCCGCCGCGTGTGGGCGTGGCAGATACACGAGACAGTGGCAGTGAGGCCGCGAACCTAAGCCGTCATTCCAGGCCCGCCTAAATCAGCACCAGACCCGCCGGCGCTGTTTGCGTTGGCCGCCGCCAGAGTGCGCGCGAGTCAGAGCCGCGCGTCGGCTCTCGTTTCACCGTGCTACGATCGGCGCGCCGCGTCAACCGGGGCGCGACCGCCGCGTCGCTCGCGTGCTGCTGCTGAGGGCGGCGCCGGCGGCGCTCCGGTGGACGCCTCCGGGCTGGAGGGGGCGGGGCCGCGGCACACACCTGACCTGCTCCAAATCAGACGTACGCCACGCGCCGGCGGAATATCGTTACCGAAGCCTGACGGCGCTCCGGGGTATAAATAAACGGCGGCGTTGGCAGCCGGCACAGCAGCCCGACACCCCCGCTTTGAGCGACGGCATATTGTTCCAGCCTCGCCGGGCTGCCTTCGTCCTCGCCGCTCTCTTGACGACCACCGACAGACTCGAAACACGCACAGCCACCTTGCAGCGTTGGAACACAGCGCAGCGGCGAACAGAAATGGCCGGGGAGCCCGCAATGGACCGCATTTCTGTCATGGAACTACGCATGCACTATGCTCATGGCATAGCACATGTATTCCTGACCTCTCACTTAAACTTACATAGGCGGGTCCACACATCCTGCCCTGTACAAAACGTGAAACGTTCCCCGCTAGTGCATCGGTGGTGAGCCAGCTGACATCGGTCGATGCGCTCGCAGCCTGCACGCACGTGCGCGCCCCCCCCCCTCCCCCTCCCCGCTCGTCAGCGTGTGACAGTGTGCATCTCTGCTGGCAGGACCGGATCCGTCAGCTGCAGGATGACCTCGAGTCGGAGAGGGAGATCCGGCAGCGGGTGAGTGTCGGGGTCGTCGAGGGGTCACCTGGGTCGCCGCGGTCTCCGAGGTCGGCGCCCCGAGACGCGGCTGCTCCAGTCGGGCTTCACAGCTGGGAGGCGGTCGTTGAAATAAAACAAGCATCGATGGATCGTGGCTTTCGCCCTGAGGCGATTTTCGGGGAAAAAAATGAGGTCGAAAAGTCAAAAAGTCAAAAAAGCGCAAATTTGATTTCCGGCGTACATTTCTGTCTGTTTAAAGGTGCATGCCACCTAGAAACAAAGGGAAGAGTCGTGTGCTTCGTGCTCGTGGATCCTTCATGCTCGACTAATACCAACCGCTCCCAACCAACTTGTCTGACCCGGCCCGACCTGATATTTCAGATTGAGCGGGACAAGGGTGACCTGAGCGTCAACCTGATCCAGATGCGGGAGCGCCTGGAGGAGGCCGAGAGCGGTGTGGACGGTCAGGTGAGGCACACGGCCGGTTGACGCCAGGTGTCGGGGCCGTGTTCAGCTCCACTCTCGCGGCCACCGAGGCGGCCTACTGGAACGGAGCTGCTGGAGTCCTGAACGTGCATGGAGTGACATCAAATCGAGGCGTCGCGTAAAGCACTGTCACCACCGATTGCTTGGTGTTCCGGAGGGGGTGACTTAAGTTTATCTGTAGTAATACCGTAATAGCGAACAGTTCAGAACGCTGCCGCATCACATTCTCGTTTGTACCTCACCACGTTGGACCCCGAGATCTGCTTTCGCCATGTGGCACTGGTTACGTTGACGTCGGCCGGGTCTGAGACCCCTGCACCGGTGCACCGCCAGATCGAGATCAACAAGAAGCGAGATGGCGAGCTGATGAAGCTGCGCAAGCTGCTGGAGGACGTGCACCTGGAGAGCGAGGACAGCCTCCACATGATGAAGAAGAAGCACCAAGAGGCCATCCAGGATTACATGGATCAGCTTGACTCAATGTCGAAGATCAAGGCCAGGTGAGAACTCGAGGGCGTTTTTTAGTGCTTAGTACTTAACGAGAAATAAGTTCTAAAATCGGAATTGCGTTAGAAGAAACATGAAATGTGAGTGAAATATGAAGCACTCTGTCAGCCGTCCGTAGTAGATTGTACAGGACGGGATTCAGTTGAAGAAAGCTTACTTTGCAGTCCCTTGAATCATGTACTCACTTCCAAGATAGCCACGTTTGTCGCGATGCCATGGATCAGCTTATCTTCGACCGCGAAATGGCATGGTGTAGGACATAATACCAAAGTCATGACTCACCTGAAGCTATCGATGATCTGTTCGCTCCTGCCACACAGACTCGAAAAGGAGAAGAACAAGCTACAGACTGAGATGTACGAGCTGATGAGCCAGCTGGAGGGCTCCAACAAAGACAAGGTAAAGGAACATCGCAAGTAATCGCCTATAGACTGGCCAAGTCACAAAATGGAGTGGTGTCGATCTGCTTGCGCTGTTTTCCTTAAAATTTTGGTTTATCACATGCACCACATACGTATGCAGAATTATGTTAATTTCGCTATATAGTTCAGGAATTCGCTTCACTGCACATGCAGAATGTGCTACCCTTGGCACTGCTTAGAGTTTCAGTTGCATCTTGTTATCCACATTTGAATCTTGATGAACATATTTAATCGCTGCACACCGGGGCATTTCGCGGCCGATCCTGCAGCGTCGTGTGCCAGTGCCTCTGACCACCCGAACCTCCGCCCAGATCACCGTCCAGAAGCACTGCGAGAAGCTCGAGATCACCGTGCACGAGCTGAACATCAAGATCGAGGAGATCAACCGCACCGTCATCGACCTCACCAGCATCAAGACCCGCATCTCCCAGGTGGGTAGTCCCTTGCTGGCTGATCGTGTCCACCGACTGCCGCCATTCCGTGGCCACAGGGACCGGCGGCGGTGAGAGCTCTTGGCATTATCACTTTCTTTCACTCACTCCCCGTCGTTTAAGCCCTGCAATTTTATCTTCCCTCCTCTTTGTGCAGTCTTTAGCAAGTTATTTATTCCTCCCGCTCTTTCTCTTCTTGATATTCTTCTTGATATATATTTGAACTCTACTTAAGCCTTTTCTGGGACAACATAACTTGCATGCGTTGTATTCGTTGCACGGCAGCGCCAAAAATCAGCTGTTTCAATCGGCCTGCAAGACATTCCATGCCTACACTGTTGACCTGCTGTAACGTTAGGTAACTGGCCCATGATGACTCCGTGGTCTTTGACTCCCATCCTCGACCCTCCAGGAGAACATCCAGCTGACGAAGGAAGTGCAGGACCTGAAGGTGACACTCGAGAACATCGAGTACACCAAGCACCAGCTGCAGACGGCGCTCAATGATGCCAACCGTCGTCTGGAGGAGGAGGACCGGGTGAGATGGCCGGGGCGCCCTCTGGCCGCCACTCTCGATCGGTTCAGCTACAGTGGTTCTTCTTGATCACGATGGGTTGTGAAAAGAAGAAGCGTGCTATTCCGATAGCACTGTTTTCCGAAAAGTGCGAGCCTGATTGGCAATTAGACCTGTGTCAGTTGTCGCACTAACCTTAACTTGGATTCATTGTCACTGACTTTGCTTCTCCATACGAAACGGGCTATCAGGAGAAGTCACGCACTTGGAAATCAATGTCAAATAAAGTCAAATAAAGATCAAGTAAAGAAATCAAATATAGTCACATCAGTGGAAACTGAAGTATTTATGTCGCTCACAATAATGACTCCAAAGCACGGGTTTTGGAGCCGGGACCTTGCGGTGCCCTGCCCTAATCGAGCCTGTGGCTGTGAATCACATGAGCACGAGCGTTCAGTAAAGAGTCGTAATATGTTAATCGAACCCTGACCTCACGACCTGACCGTGCCCTGCGACCCGTCGCCTGGTCGCCTGATCTCGTCTCGATGACTTGGAGGAGACCTGTAACCTGTTGCAAAAACATGATATGCTGATCGTGCCCTGACAAATTCACCCTAAAATGACAATGACGTGACCTGCCCTGAGTGTCCCGGGAGTGCTTTCCCCAAGTGTGACCTAAAGACATGACCGTGCCCTGCCATCCTGCCGACCCGCCCGTGACCCGGGACGCCCGGCGGCCGGCAGCGTCGCAGCGCGCTGGAGTCTCAGCTGCACACGGTGGAGACGGAGCTGGAGTCGGTGCGGCACCAGCTGGAGGAGGAGTCCGAGGCGCGGCTCGACCTCGAGCGCCAGCTGGTCAAGGCCAAGGCCGACGCCGACAACTGGCGTGTCAAGTACGAGAACGAGGCGCTGGCGCGCGCCGAAGAGATCGAGGAGCTGAGGTGAGGCACCGCGCGGCTCGACGCCGTCTCGCCGTCAGACCTGCGACGCACTTTGTGCGGTTTGCTGAAGCCGTTTAAAGTGTTGATACATTACCGCGGTATCCCTGTTGTGCTTGTCTGATTGACCGTTTTCCGATCGCCCATCAACCCCCCGGCCAGGCGCTTGGTTCCACATGTATGTGAGGCACTCAGTCCCCGCTGTAAGTGGCTGTTGCTTGTGCAGCTTAGTCAGCCCCCCAACTCTGGTGCCAGCCCCTCCTCCAGCTCTGGGTCTGAGGCACTCAGCCCCCGCTGTAAGTGGCTGTTGCTTGTGCAGCCTAGTCAGTTCCCCAACTCTGCTGCCAGCCTCCTCCTCCAGCTCTGGGTCTGAGGCTGGGTGAGCCCGTGAAGAAATCCAGTTGTAGATTAATTTTTGAGCAGCCTAAGCCATGCGCCGACTTTCCTCCCTGCCCCCCCCCCCCCTTCCAGCTCGCCCCCCAAGGCAAAACCTACATTCGACGCCAATATGCCCCTGCCTGACACCGCTCGGCTGTGCCCAGGCGTAAGTTCGCGCTCAAGATCCAGGAGCAGGAGGAGCACATCGAGTCGCTGATGGCCAAGCTGGCGCAGGTGGAGAAGCAGAAGGCGCGGCTGCAGTCCGAGGTCGAGATCCTCATCATCGACCTGGAGAAGGCCAACGGCACGTGCCGCGAGCTCCAGAAGCGCGTCGAGATGCTGGAGCGCATGAACAACGACCTCAAGGGCAAGGTCAGCTTCTGACGCCGGGTCTAGCGCGACGGCGGCGGTTCGGCTAAAGGGGCTTTACATAGCGGTATTCTTTCCCGGTGTGCGCAAATCATGGGATTTTCCAATGGCAGATGATCGCATCGATCCTGTCATGGTATAACTAGGCACATTATTGTGGTGTATCGTTGTGATATCACGATATATCGTATGTGATATACTGTTGTGACGTATCGATCAGGCTGTGGTATACAACACATATGTGAAAAAACTGGACTTTGTTGACACATGGAAACGTTTGTAAAATCACCCATCCAAGTCTGCTGAATCTGTCCATACAGACGACTCATTGGCTGCAGCGGCAGCAACCCCTGACCACACGGAGCCCCATGGCTGTCAGCGTTGCACCCGTGTCACCTCCCCTGACCTCTTCTGGCCCGGTGACCGGCAGCTGGACGAGCTGGGCGCCCTCTATGACCAGAGCCAGCGCGACAACCGCGCCAAGGCCGCCGAGATCCAGCGCCTCAACGTGGAGAACGACAAGCTGAAGGAGCAGAACAACAACCTGAACCGCGAGAACAAGAAGCTCGGAGGTGAGTAGCGACTCAGGCGTGCGAGTGTCAGCTGTATTTGCGTGGTCTCGTGCCTTTTCGTGAGGAAGGCGGAGGTACATGACGCAAGAACAAGGCGGCCTCGAGCACCTTCATCGGCATAGACATTGAAAACGTCTCTTTCTACTCAGCATTGCATTTGTCCATTCTATTTAAAGGAGGCGTTCCACCTTTGTGTGGGGTTTTAAACAGAAATAGTAATCTGGAAGATCATTCGGTGCAGTTCACAGCCCTGCCTTTCTCAAGACCTAAAGCCGTCTAAAAGCCCGCGAATGTGCGCAGGCTATTTCGGGGCGACTATTTCAAGGCCACCCAGGCATTCATGACGTCATAATAACATCATTAAAATCCTGTCGTTCCATTAGACATGCGGCGATCAAGACCAAAAAAAGTAACCGTCAAGTCGTTCATATCTGGCGTCCGTGAGCACGATTTCCAGATACCACGGCTGTCAATTGGCTCCCAATCAATGTTGTGCGAGGTGTGATGACGTAATCAGGCCATGACGTGCTGAGGAACACATTTACTAAACAGATGAACTTTGTTGTTTAGAGCGGTCTTTTCTTCTTGAAAGTATATTAATAGTTAAAAGTGAGCTTATTTCATATATGATGCTTGCACCAATATCTTAAAAGTTGGGACATTCCATTTAAGCTATTCTATGAGGCTCATGATTGTTGAGATGGCCTATGATGATAGCACACCTATTACATAGGTATGGACACCCGCCTAGAGCTAAAGGGATTCAGGGCGCGCAAGTCAGGTAGTGCATGACTTTGGGTTTTAAAATTCTCCCAAGCTGGAGCAGACACGCACATGTATTTTATCCCGGCATGTGCGCATTCTTCCCAGCTACAAACCCGAATGACTTAGGTCGGAATTCGCTCACTGCCTGTCGGACGCGCCCCAGAATGCCTCGTGCCTGAGGCCCGGACGCTTAGCGTTCGCCGAGCACGGTGCGGTGCCGCCGTCACCACGTGTGACCCCCGGCAGACGAGAACCACGACCTGAAGAACGCGCTGGCCGAGCTGACGCGTCGCTACCACGAGCTGGAGCTGGAGAACCGGCGCCTGGAGAACGAGCGGCAGGAACTGGCCGCCGCCTACAAGGACGCCGAGGCTGTGAGTAACGCCGCAGGGGTCCGGGGGCGGCGTTAGTCAGCCGCTCTTGGGTTACTGAGACCAGTGCCAAGAGCATCAGGCCCACCGGCTTTTAGTGCCTTAGTAGGAATGTCGAGTTTATCGCTGTTTGGAAAGATGCCTGACCTTTGATATCCATCGATGATGAACCAGTGAGCGTTCCGGAGGCGGTTGGCGTTGTCTTTCATGTGAGATCAACACCGCGACATTCCTCGTCGGCTTCTCTTGCTTTTGTCGCAGGCCGCCCTGCTCCTCCCCCCCCCCCCCCCCCCGCTACCGCTCCCGTTACTTGCTGCCCTCTGCCGTGAACTTAGTGCTGCCCTCTGTGCGCAGGGTCGCCGCGCGGAGGAGGCCCGCGCCCAGGCGCTGTCGGCCGAGCTGTCGCAGGTGCGCCACGAGATGGAGAAGAGGCTGGCAGCCAAGGAGGAGGAGCTGGAGACTGTCAGGTCAGTGAGTCAGAGCCTTAGTCGGGGAGTCGGAGTCAGAGTCAGAGTCGGTCGAAGAGGTGCGATGCCGGCGATCGGCACCGCCGACCGCCGGGCCGGTGGGTTGTGCCATGGAGCACATGTGAGTAATCAATGCACCAACCAGGTCATGTGTGAGATAGTAGACGAGGCACAAAACGGGCAAGGCTCATATTGATGGGGTAAAAAAGGTCAAATGTGAGCATGCACATGCCCAGCCCGACATGGAACAGCTAAGACCCATCACGCTCGTAACACGGATACAGTCACAATCCCGAAACTCATCATGTTAGACCCAGTAAAACATCAAAGCCTGGCACGAGCCCCTGCTTTGCTTTCTAAACAAGATCACTGTAGAGGCTGCGGGCACATCCCTTTCCATTCCACAACACTGTAAACATTCTTTGTGAAAAAACAAAATGACCCGCAAAACAAATAGCCGTGCCAAATGGCACACACAGTGAACCTTTTTTCAAAGTTGTGAAAATATTTTCATACGGTTGTATTTTATGGTATTTCAAACGTTCCATCCTAGAACAAAACAGCAAATACCTCGCGTCAGACAAAAGCCATAGACATCAAGACTAAGGTTCCGTCACATGTAGGAGCCTGCTGAAGACACGCCTCGGTGGCAGCGTTAAATGCTCTTGATGGCCCGTTTCTGTCAGGGTGAGCGACATGAGAGACGAACGGTCCCACGAGCGCACCGTCGGGCCATCAAGAGACAAGGTCGCCAGTGCCCGCCAAGCTTTGAGTGATAACCTGGGCTTGGTCAGCTGGCGCGACCCGAAGGACGGCACGCGGGAGCTATGCGCAGCCTTCGGGGTGTGACAGCGGCCGTGATACAGTGATAAGCGCGACGTCCCGACGCCGAAAATAGGGGACGCGAGAGCCGATTTGGACGGCCCCTGAGCACCAGAAGTATAATTAGCCGATCATTAGCCGATCAGCCAATTAGCCGATTTTCGTCGACGACGGCAATCACACATGGAACCATGGTGCGGGGAACAGGGAGGCGTCACCAGTTGGCATATAGAAGAAATGTAAACGCGGACTGGTGCCAAAGCAAGCACTACACAGTGGCGGTCAGGCGATAGGAGATGACCGCAGAGGAAAGGTTTCGATGAAATTCATTATTTACATATTCAGTATAAATACGTTCGTGGAAACGGCAAGATGAGACTGGTATTTGTCAAGCTGCAGTCTCTTCAGGTGTCAAAACATGCAGGAAGGCAGTTAGGCAGAAACATTTGACGCTTGGAGCTTTTAATACCGCATTCGCCTCGGCAAGTTCGGGGATCCTGCGGAATCCGGCCTGCCCGGCAAGCAGAGCAAGCCTTTGTCCTCAGCTCATCTTTCCCGACGAGCGATGCTGCGGCACAGATGCGCCCTCCACGCCGGGGCCTCCTCGTGCCTGCTGTCTGACCGCCGCCACCGGACGCGAGGTGCTCGGTCGCGAGCGACGGCCGCCGCCACCGCCGACCGCGGCGCATTTGTCGGCGCCGCGTACCGATCGGCGCATCGGCGGCGTGGCTGAGCGATGACGGGGCCGAGGAGGACCGTCCGGCGCGCCCCGAGCGTGCCACCTTGCCAAGGTCGACCCTCTGCTGACGTCACCGGCCAGGGTCAAACGGCAAAAAGGTGCGCTTGGCCCGGCCGGGGCGCGGACGCTGTCTAGCGGCGCTGACTGGGGCCGTCGGCACGCGGCAGGAATGTGCCACATCCGCCGTCGACGGCGCAGGCTCTCGAGCAGCGTCAGAGGACCCGCCAGCCGAGCTGCAGGTCGGCTTCCGCCTGCCAGCGGAAGGCATCCATGGGTTCCGCCACACTGAGGACGCCCCTACCGTCACTTTTCCGCGGCTTAAAACCACGTCTATGGCCTAGTGTGGAGGGAATTTGCGTTAAAAACCTAGACTTCTCCTAATTTTTGACCAGTGCGAAGGCCAGTGACAGCGAATTCAGGACAGCGCAATGTTGACGCTATCAGAGTACCGAACAGTGCCGGCAAGACCGTCCGCATTAGGCGGCAGCTCACGTGATGCTGGGCACCCCTCTGGTACAGAGGATGCGGCTGACCGAGCGAGGTCTGGAGGACACATTTGTGACGCCGATTTATTGAAGCGACTTCCATCTGGTCGCTGTTACCCGACGCTGCAGCAAGACAAAATGCTAGAAAGTCCAGGTATCGTCCACCTAAAGTGTTCAGACAACTCAGAAGATTCGGAGGGATACTGGAGGTTCTAGTCTATTATCTGCACTACCTGAAAAAGACACAGCACTGATTCTTGAGCACAGTGCTGCATGGTAAAGCCACCCAGCGCATATATGGAAGGACGCTGCCAAACCGCTGTTGGCAATAGGCTGCACTAAGCATCTCGCTCGGCGGAGATGTTCAGTTCGACGGCTGTTCTTGACTAAACGCCAAGATGTGATACGTAGGACTGAACACCCCTGACGGTGATGGAGACCAGAAGTTCTGGCTCCGGCCGTCGTTGACGGAACAGAACCGCTGCGATGTCACCGACGCGGCGGCAGTTCAGCCCGGGCCACCGATCACGTGACCGGACCGATGGTCACGTGACCGACCGGGCACGTCCGTCATCCGGCCGCGCCGCAGCCAGAGCCGGCCACTGGCGACGGTCCGCGCCAGGTCGCGGTGCGATCGCCCGGCGGCGATATTTTCGGCGCGGGTCTTGTTGATGTCACGCGCCAAGGTCACGGCCGGCCGGCGGCGGCCGGAGTCGCGTCGTCGCCTCCGCAGTCGCCGTCCGTCGAGGCTGCCGACCGTGCGGTCCGCGAACTCCTATACCGGAGATCAGCGAGACCCGACACGGCGTCGGCGGCCAGAAGCAGCGGCCGGCGTCGATCGGCTCCAGAATCAGCCGCCACCGCGGGCGAAGGCGGCGCCGGTCACCCGTCCGCCGCGCGGCCGTCCGACCGGCGCCGGAGGGCAGAGCCGTGACGTCGGCGCCCCTGCGGGCCAGGCGCCGGCCGCCGCCGCCATGTACAGTCCGCCGTACGTGAACCCGAGCTTCGCTCGCTGCTGCCGCCACTACGAGACGTGCAGCGGCCACGGGCGCGCGCCGGCGCGCAGCAGCAGGCCGGCGTCGGCGCTGGCCGAGCAGCAGCGGCGCGCCGAGCAGCACTCGCGGCAGCAGCGGATGATCCGCGCGGCGCTGGAGCACGCGCCGCTGGTGGAGCGCGCGGCGCCGGCCGAACGGCGCGCCTCGCCTCTCCGGCAGGACCGGCTGCTGCTGGCCGACGCGCGCCGCTCGGCACAGCGGCTGCGCCAGCAGGAGGAGCAACTGGCTGAGGAGGAGGAGCGGCTGCGCCTGCAGCTGCAGTGGGAGCGCGAGAGCGAGGCGCGCCAACTGCGCCGTCGGCTGGAGGCGCGGCGGCGGCTGGAGGCGCCGCACTGGGGGCCTTACATGGCCCGGTACTGATCGCCATTGCGGACGCATGAAGTCCGGGACTACAGACGGCGGATGCTTTGAATACGCCCGTCCTGGTGTTGATGAAAGATGGATGTGCAAGAGTGCGGACGCCGGGGAATGTCGAGCGTTGCCGCTCGTCATGTTCGAAAGCTTTGCAGCTTGCGGATTTTGAGCAGCACGGCTCGTTTATGGTTATGCTGTTTACTGAGTGATTTGTCCCGATATGAGATCCTACGGATCCAGGCAATTACCTTTGAATATCCCCAAAGAAGGAAGCGCTGGAGACCACCGTGCGAAGTTGGGAGTCGGGCCGCGAATCGGCAGTGTGTGGAACAGATTTTCGCTGTGCTAAATCCTCTGGAAGCTGTAATGGCTACACAGCTGAACAGTATGGGTATGGTCGGATACCAAGCGTTAGACACTATATAACAGCTTTGACAGAAATGGTTGTAGTTACAATTGGCCATCATTGCGGACCCAATAAATCGCAGCATTGAAAATTAGGTGATTTTGTATGCATTACACCGTTATGCTAACAAGAACACAGACGTGTGCAAACATGACCATGACTTGAACTATGAGAGGAAAAACTTCAAACAGAATCAAAGCCAGCCATTCATCCTTCCTCCTGTGAGTACCCGACTTTGAAAGTCGAAGCGGCAGCCGAAAACAGCGTTGCCGAAAGTGTGTAAGCAAGGACCACAGTGAGCGACTCAATGACAACGGTGGTGTGTGTGCATGAACAGAGCGGCGCCGCTTCATTTAGCAGGCGCTCGGTGCACCGCTTCGTGTTATTATGGACTACTACGGCCGCTGTCATCAGGCGTGTTCTCCTCCCTCTGGCTTGATCTTAGCCGCTTAAACGCGATTCCATTATATCTCCCGGGCCATCAGGGATCACTTTCACGTCAAACCACCTCCGTTATCGCAGCCTCATCTAATCCCTGGGACATTAGATAAAAGTGTTTCACTAAGCCTAGTGAGCGAGAATCTCACCACATCTGATGACCCGAGCCGCCGTTTGACCTGATCCCCCGGGTCACCTAACCTCCAGCGACACGACTGCTGACGGCGTGCCGTCGGGCCGACCTCTGAGTCCGGGGGGGGGGGGGGGCGGGGGGGGGCTGAGCCCCACCCGGCGTCCTACTGACCTCTCGTCCGACCGCCGTCCCGCAGGAAGACGCTGACGCTGGAGATCGAACAGCTGAACGGCCGGCTGGCCGACGCCGAGGCGCGCCTCAAGGCCGAGGTCCTCCGCATCAAGAAGAAGATGCAGATCACCATCACCGAGCTCGAGATGTCGCTCGACGTGGCCAACAAGAACAACATCGAGCTGCAGAAGCAGATCAAGAAACTGTCTCTGCAGGTGTGTGCTTGTGTAGAATATGAAATGTGGTACTCTGGAGAAAAGAGATTCCGGATATCTGTGTGGTCTTCACGAACCTAGGCGCTGTTTTGATCCAACAGCACACCATAAACCTGTGATGAGTCAGCAGTAATAAATCGCGGTGGTGCCTTTCATTCGCATCGGCGATCCCCCCCCCCCCCCCCCCTCCTCCTCCTCCCGGCATTCTTCGCGTGCTAATCTCAGTGCCAATGTAATTCAACACAATATCCTGAATGACACCGCCTCCATTATAGTCACCCCGCCATTCCGTCCCATTCTTGAACTGTCACCCTGCGGTACCCCTCCCCCACCCCCGCCCACACGAAATCCCATCACATCCCCGACCTTAGCGACAATCACCACGTGCCTGACGTAGCCTCTGTCAGTCCCTGGACCAGCCGGGCTGACGTTGCGTCTGTCACGCCACGTCATATCACGTCTGTCACGTCACGTCACGTCACGTCACGTCACGTCACGTCACGGCCCGCCGCAGCTGACGGAGCTGCAGGCGCACTACGACGACGTCCAGCGCCAGCTGCAGGCCACGCTGGACCAGTACGGCATCGCCCAGCGGCGCATCCAGGCGCTGTCGGCCGAAAACGAGGAGCTGCGCGGCAACCTGGACCAGGTCAGCGGGCGGCCCGCGCAGACCTGAGCCGGCCCCGTCAGTCGGCGCTGTACCCATCGGTCCGCAAATAAGGGCTTTCTTTAGACAAGAGCGTTGCCGTTCAGTTTCGTCTTGATGGTATTACGTCGTCTTTATTCAACCCTCCGTTTGGCTAAATCATGGAAGAGTGGCATCCTTTCCACACAATGATAGAAACCTAAATTAATATAAATCTCGAGAACGCGAAGGCGATTTGAACTCAACAAATCATTAAATACGTGTTGAAATATATTCAATCGGTCTCTGAAGTGCGTTATTATGGCACGTGAAGGAGAAAGGTGTTTAAACCCACCACCACGAGCTGTAATGCCGTTCCTGATTGCCGTGTAAGGCTCTAGTTCATTCTGCTGACAAGAGATGTCGCGCGCGCAGGCTCAGCGCCTGAAGCGCGCTGCCGAGGAGCTGGCTGAGGAGTTCCGTGTGCGCATCAACGAGCTGCAGACCATCAATGTCAACCTGACCAGTGTCAAGAGCAAGCTGGAGCAGGAGCTGGCCAACCTCACGGCGGACTATGACGAGGTCACGAAAGAGCTGAAGGTCAGTAACAACCGAACGGTCGGTGAATGGACGTCCAGACCCTCCTGGGTCGCTTACCGACCCATGTCGGTGGCCCAAATTCGGGAAGCCCGGCTCACCGACCTCGCGGCGGCCAGGGTTCGGCATTATCGTGACGTCACTGATTGCCCGCCAGATGACCGACGACCGCTGCATGAAGGTCCAGGGCGAGCTGAAGCACACGGTCGACATCCTCAACGAGGAGCAGGTGCGCATCGTCAAGATCGAGACCATCAAGAAGACGCTGGAGGTGGAGGTGAAGAACCTGACCATCCGGCTGGAGGAGGTGGAGGCGAGCGCCATCGCCGGCGGCAAGCGCGTCATCAGCAAGCTGGAGGCCCGCGTGAGTTCTCCAGACGCCGTCAGAGCGCAGCCCGGCTGACTCTTGACCTTTGCCGTCATAGCTGACACGGCGTGACAGACTTCACGTGTACGGTATGTTAGCGTGACGCAGTCATGTTGCATTTGCCGTGAAGCTCTTTGAAATCTTTGGAGGCGGACGAACAGGTGCCCACGTGGCGTAGCGTTTTGCGGCTCGCTGGGACTCCGCATGGGGAGACTTTGTCGGACTGAAGCACAACCCATCCACCGCTTGTGCCAACGCCTCGCGCATGGTGAGGCCACGGCATCGCGATCCTCGCTCATTGTGAGCCGGTTCGTCGATGTGCACGCTGACCGCCTCGAGCTCCGTGCCGCCCCTGACCTGAGCTGACCTACCGCCAGCTGCGCGACCTCGAGCTTGAGTTCGACAACGAGAAGCGTCGCCACGCCGAGACCCTCGGCATGCTCAGGAAGAAGGAGCGCAACGTCAAGGAGCTGATGGTCCAGATGGAGGAGGACCAGAGCAACGTCATGATGCTCAAGGAGGCCCTCGACAAGGCGTCGCAGAAGGTAGGCACGCGCAAGCGGACGCGGACACGGCCCGGGACATCATCGAGCCACAGGCTGGTCTGATTTTGGCGGTTCGGCTTCTTGACAAGCGAGAACAAATAAGTGAATTAGCGTTGTTCACTGCATCTGGAGTGCAGAATGCATATGCCAGCTAATGCCACCGGGCATCGGCGCAATGTTGTTGGAAAGGCACGCGCTTTCTAGTGCAAAATTAGCTGCCGTAAGACAGCCGGGGCCCCTGCGGAGGGGCCTAACAGCTCACGAGCGCAAGCAGGCCGCGGCCGCGAGAGCCCCGCCTCCAACTGACCGCCACGTCTCCATCATCCGCAGATGAACCTGTACAAGCGGCAGCTGCAGGACCAGGAGGCCACGTCGGCGCAGAACATCAACCGCGTGCGGCGGTTCCAGCGCGAGCTGGAGGCGGCCGAGCAGCGCGCCGAGACGGCCGAGGGCAACATGAGCATGATCCGCAGCAAGCACCGCAGCTTCGTCACGCAGTCGGCAGTGCCCGGTGGCTCGGTCACCGTGGTGCAGGAGTCGCGCCACTTCGAGGAGTAGGCGGCGCCGCCGCCAGCCGGACCGCGGCGGCGAGGGCTGGGCGCCGCCGCGGTTCGGGGCGCCGGCACGACCGCGCCCCCGCTTCCACGACAGCTCCGACGCCGCACGCGCGACCGTACCGAGTCGTGGCGGGCGGGCCGGGCGGCGGCGGCCCGCACCGCGGGAGCGCGCCGCCCGCGCCCGCCGCCGCCGACACACGACAGGCTTCTGACTGCACTCGTATGATGGGTCGTAATACACTGTGAGACGTGTGCCGGCGTTTGGCGGTGCGGCGGCGAGACAGCCCGGATCATCGCCAGAGGTGCCGGCCGGGAACGCTCGGCAGGACAGAACTGGGTGGACAGGCCTCAGCCTGTGGACAGCCTCCAGCGCCCCAGTAGCGTGGCCAGATCAAACTAAATTCATGCTGTCAGAATTATAGCTGGCCTGGTCTCTGAGCCAAGTCAGGCCCAGTGGTGGCGGCGGCCCCTGTATGCAATTTCTATCCTGCGCCGGGACAGGGCGGACGATCCTTAGGCCCCAGCGCCGGGACAGGAGAGACGATCCTTAGGCCCCAGCGCCGGGACCGGACAGAGAATCCTCAGGCCCCAGCGCCGGGACAGGAGAGACGATCCTTAGGCCCCAGCGCCGGGACAGGAGAGACGATCCTTAGGCCCCAGCGCCGGGACCGGACAGAGAATCCTCAGGCCCCAGCGCCGGGACAGGACAGCAAATCCCTGGACATTAACGCCGGGGCAGGACAGACGATCCTCAGGCCCCAGGGCCGGGGTAGGACAGACGATCCTCAGGCCCCAGGGCCGGGGCAGGACAGACGATCCTCAGGCCCCAGGGCCGGGACAGGACAGCAAATCCCTGGACATTAACGCCGGGGCAGGACAGATGATCCTCAGGCCCCAGCGCCGGGGCAGGACAGACGATCCTCAGGCCCCAGGGCCGGGACAGGACAGACGATCCTTAGGCCCCAGGGCCGGGGTAGGACAGACGATCCTCAGGCCCCAGCGCCGGGACCGGACAGAGAATCCTCAGGCCCCAGCGCCGGGACAGGACAGCAAATCCCTGGACATTAACGCCGGGGCAGGACAGACGATCCTCAGGCCCCAGGGCCGGGGCAGGACAGACGATCCTCAGGCCCCAGGGCCGGGGCAGGACAGACGATCCTTAGGCCCCAGGGCCGGGGTAGGACAGACGATCCTCAGGCCCCAGGGCCGGGGCAGGACAGACGATCCCTGGGCCCCAGCGCCGGGAGCCGTGACAGGGCAGACATTCCCTGGGCATTAGCGCCGGGACAGGACAGACGATCCTTAAGCCCCCAGCGTCGGGGCAGGACGGGCGTGCTTTTAACTCCAGCACCGGGGCGGTGCAGACGGGTTTTCAAGTCCAGCACCGGGACAGGACGAGTGGGCCTTCAGCTTTAGCACCGGGACAGGACAGGGCAGGGCAGGGCACGGCGGAGGCTGAGCAAGGGCTCACTGGACAGCAGCTAATATCACGTCACCTGACCACACCGGCATACTTCCATAAGGCGGCGGACGTCGGGCACCAGCCGGGCGGCAGCAAACGCGAGACGTGATAGCCATCTGATGTATTAAAACCCATTTCCCACCCACCGATGGTCCCCAAAGGCTCAGAGCACACTGTCTGGTGTTCTTTAGTACATGGCGCGCTGAAACCCCCAACAAACAACATGCACCATGCATTTTTGATTAAACACTCAGAGATTCCAACTAATTGTACAAAACACCCAGCTTGGAACTCGACTACGTCGCTCATGCCACATAAAACCACCGTAACGATATGTCGTCGCCCACGCGTCTTAAGCCCGTCCCACACTAACTACTTTTCGTTGCGTAGCGTTGCGACGTGATGCGATACGAGGCAGTACGGAACTGAAAAGTAGGATAGCGATTAACATCGCGCGCACCTTGATATCACCCAACCTCCAGCGACAAAGCTTATGTAGTCAAGATAGCAGTGAATGGCATGTTCAACAGCCGTGCTCCACAAGGGGCGGAAATAGCTTACTGGCATTGTGGGCGCCATCGGCCGCCAGACGGCGCTCCCTCCCGTCTCGCATGCAGGCTCCAGTGTGGGTCACGTTGCGGAATGTCCTAAGGTCCAATGTTGTGCTTCCTGTCAGTTCCGTCCTGCCTCGCGTGGCGTAACGACTCTATGCAACGAACAGTGGCGTGGGTGGGCGGATGTTAGAAGGCTAACCGTTCCCACGTAACCACTCCCACCACCCTCGGACGGAGCTTCCGTGGATTTCGTTGCGAGAAGAAAAGTCAGAGTGCAGGATCGGCGCCCGCCGTTCCAGTCCACCGTTACAAATATAGGAAGCTCTGATATAACCAACCCTTGCGGTGTGGGCCTGTTGCGGCTCTATGCAGGCTACAGGCATATCAGCTACAAACCACAGCGGTCTGGGAACATGTCCTATCACGTCTTATGACGATACGCAGCCCTGAGACGGTCCCAGTCATCCCAGTCGGGCCGAGCCGAGCCGAGCCGAGCCGGGCCTGGCCGAGCCGAGCCGAGCCGAGCCGAGCCGAGCCGAGCCGAGCCGAGCCGAGCCGAGCCGAGCCGAGCCGAGCCGAGCCGAGCCGAGCCGAGCCGGGGCCGCAATACTGGAGCTAGAGGAGCTAGAGGAGCGCGAGGCGCGCGAACCGCGGCAGCACGAAGGCGGTGGCGTGCACCTCCGGAGTATAGTAGCGCAGCCGCATCGCGTCCATCTCGGGCTCCGTTAGTAGCCGGCGTGGTATGCTGAAGTCGACGGCCTGCAAACGACATTCCATCGTGGCAAACGGCACCGAGCGACACCCGCAGTCACAGCACACGCCCTTGGCTGCACGGAGATGTGGTATTTCGGCCGCCCATCGCGCGCACCTGCTCGTTCTGGTCGGTGCCGATCCGAGGGTGATTCTGGCGTTCGCGTCTGGTTTGGTTCGGCTCGTGGACATGGAATGGGTGCTTCGTTTCATGGTAACGCTTTTCTGCACATGCGACTCGACAAACGTGATGAAAAATCCGATGGAAACGGACCAATGGACCATGGTGTTTAATTCGTCGCGCTACCATAACGCGTTGCCCCAGATCTTCGCTCGCACTCCCAGTTCACATTCATACCCTGATCGACTCCTTACCTCATCCTTAGACGCTAAAACGAAGCCGATTTGTCCGCCTGGGTAGGTGGGAATAGTGGTGTACGCGTACGCTACGGAACCGAAGTTTTTCCTACAGCCCGCCATCACTTTTCTGAAACGGTAGTGTCGATTAGAAATACGGTACAGCACAGCACCGAATCGACAAATGTGTCGCTAATACTTAGCACAGTTGCACAGACGTACGCCACCCGCGCTGGCAGCCTACGCTCTCACGTAAAGCTATCTTCTAAACGCTGAAGCTCCAGCAACAAACACGTGAAAACGAATTCCCGTACAGGTCGAACGCCCTATACAGAATAGTCAATACAACAGCCTGATACCAGGTAACCCGAGCCGTCACTCATGACGAGACATCGACGGGCGTTCAGCACGCAGTCGGTGTCACCAACAACCTGATACCAGGCAACCCGAGCAGTCACTCATGACGAGACATCGACGGGCGTTCAGCATGCAGTCGGTGTCACCAAATTATGATTTGGGTTGGAAGTCCTGGCTTCTGCACTCAGCCGTCCATCACGACCCGAACCCCTCTCGAACACGAACCGCCCACACCCAGCAGTGTGGTAGTGCTCTGTGGACGATTCCTTCCGGGCCTCTTCATACCGGGTCGAGACCCAAGGGCCAGATTCCGTTCATTGCTCCTTCATGGTTCAGGAAGAGGGACGTAGCTAGCGGGGGGAGGGGGGGGCGACAAAGGGACATGCCTCTCCCCCCAGGCCAATGGGTTTACGCTAGATGTCGAAGGATTTAGCAGGAATTTGTTCCAACTTCGAAGGATTTCGCGAAAATGTTGCATTCCATCAGAAAAATTTTGGCCATGTGCCTGTTCAGAGCCATCGGAGCCATGTAGTTGCCCCACATGACTTCCCGACATTCCGCACATACACACGGGACATTCCCAGACCCCGGGACCCCCAGATTTGTGCACGCACCGACTTCAAATCACCGCAAATGCTCACTTGATTATGTCCTGGTGGAACCACATGTTCTCCCCCTGAGAGCAGATGATGCCGCCTGGCCGCAGCGCGGTGGACATCAGCTCGAAGTAGTTCTCCTCAAACAGAGTGGCGGCGGGCCCTGCAGATTGAATCACCAGATTAACGTAAATGGTACTGATCGGAAGCATCGCATCAGCAGACAGCACAACCGGTATTCCACGGGCTAATTCACAGCAAACAACTGTTGGAGCATGTCGCACACATCTCTTAGCTCGGACATTTGCTGAATTTCTTTTCACTTACGGACTTTTTCACCTCCTTTTTTCCAAAGAATACCACAGTGTTATGTTTCTAATACGTAGAGAACAACACATCGTACATCTGAATACATCTAAGATGAATAAGGATAAGCCTTTTAATGAAAACATAATGTCTAACTCTCAGGGCTATCGCATTTGTCATATGAATTCCTTGCCAACAAGCTAAATTCAAAAGAACCGCACAGTATCCGGAGTACTGTACTACGCCTGTCCCAACTGTACTACACTGCTGGGAAGCTGCGTGGAGAAAAGCAGCCTCCTTTGTCACCGAGCGGGCAGATCATAGACCACAGCTAGAGAGCGCTTAGCTGTTTACGGACCACAAGAGGCAACAGGCGGCTGGGACGCGGCTCGACTGCCGCCTCCAGCTCACCGATGGGATCCGACGAGTCGGTGATGATCACGTCGAACTCGTCTCGGTGCTGCTTCATGAACTCCATCCCGTCTCCGAAGAAGAGGGTCAGCTTCGGCGACTGGAAGCCGGTGGCCATGAACGGCAGCAGCCGCTTGGAGACGTCCACCACCATGGCGTCGATCTCGCACATCACCACCTGCTCGACGGCCGGGTGCTTGACCACCTCGCGCGCCACGCCGCCGTCGCCGCCGCCCACGATCAGCACCTGCCGCGGAGGTCAGCGCGCACGTCATTAACACCCACAGGGGCGCTGTGATCCGGCTACGGGCGGCGGGGTGACCACCTGCACCCCACGCATCGGGCCGCAGGTCACCGACACTGGCAGGGGTGCTGCG